TTTGGTTTATTTAGATGCCATTTTAATTGATACTGAAACTATGGATGAACGTGTTAAACTAGTAAGAGCAGTCCTCAAAATACCGATCAGAAAAACCTAGAGGCACTAAGAACACCCTGAAGATTATCACCTAAACAAGTATGGTGGAGACTAAACTTCAATCATTTCGATTTCAGCCTTCGTTACTTGCCAGGAGGGAAAAATGTCCCGGCTGATGCACTATCCAGGCAACTGCAGTACAACAGTACCCAAAAGGAGGTTATCAATTCCATCATCTCCTCCAGCCAAATAGCTTCTCCCACGATCACCCAGGCACAGAGCAAAACAAAACCCCAGATGGCCAATGACCTCATCCAAACATTATGGCTGATGATGACTGATACAAGTAGCAGGAAGATGACTTCACCTTATGAAATGGCCTCGCATGGTTAGGGGCCAAAGTCTATGTATCAGCAAGCCCAAAAGCCCTTGTGCTGCAACATAGTCATGACTCCAAAACAGCTGGCCATTTTTAGTGGTTGTATGCTACCGTTTCGGCTGAACTGGTAGTAAAAAAAGCCTCCCGGATCATCTGAGAGGAAGAAAAAAAGCCTCCGACAATCAGCTGAGAGGAGAAAGAAGAGAAAAGCACAGAATCAGCTCTCCCAATCAGACCTTCTAACTTTTTTGGGGGGTGGGGGGAATATCTCTCAAAGTTGGAAGGTGTGACTGGTAGTCACACGGTCTTCTTTTGTTGCCTTGTATGCCAGAGAATGGAGCTGGAAAGCAGGTTAGTGAGGGAATGGTGGTTGCTGCAGGATTTTGCAGGAGGCTGTCCAGGCCAAAAAGGGGCTGGGGGGGGGGGAGAGCAGCCTCCCAGCTGATCAGGTTCCCAGTCATGCCTCTGCAGCCTCCCCACCCTGAATGGCAACCCCGGTGGGCAGGGCAGGGCAGGGCTAGCCAGATCATCTGATTCATCGAACCACACAAAAAGTTAGCAACAGGTTCGGCCGAACGGTGAAAACTGGCCTGAATCCCACCACTGACTCTGACATGGGGCCCCCTTGAAACTTCAATTGGTACAAGGTGTGGCAGCATAGGCAGTTCTTGGGATCCCTTGGATGACCCCATGGTCTGAGAACTGCACTGGCTGCTGTTCTGTTTCTGGGTGCAATTCAAGTTATTAGTTATTATCTTAAAACCCAGCATGGCACGGGTCCAGGTTACTTGAAGAATACCATTAGGACTGGCCTGCCCCACCCGCTAGCAGAAGAGGCATTCTGAGGGCCCAGTAAGGGGTCCAGGAGAAAGGCCTTCTCTGCCATGGCTCTTGCCATCTGGAACATCTCCCGTCTCCGCTTCCCTGAGCTGAGATTGGCTCCCATCCTTCTGATCTGAAGACCTGACTCTGCCAGATGGCCTGGAGCCTTAATGGAGGTGGTTGTTGAATTAAGAGGCAATCCCATCTCCTCCCCCGTACATCCTGTTCTTTCTCCATGTTTTAACTATAATTTTATCATGATTAGGATTTCCATTTTTATTATTTTAGAGATATTTGTTAAGATTGTAATGTTTTAATGCTGTAAGCTAGCCAGAGTCATTTTGTTACAAGAGAGAGGGCAAATAAATTTAATAAATAAATAAAAATAAAATAAATAGAGCCTGACTTGTATTTTTTTTCTTCAGCTGCTCCTTATGTGTATATTATTTTTTATTGTTAGTTTTATGTGTTTTGTAACTGTTGTTAGCCACTCAAATCCGTACAACTGAACTGGATGTCCATATAAATTGAATGAATGAATGAATGAATATTCTTTTGTGTGGCTCACCAACTCCTGGAGGGAGGGAATTTTTGGCTGCTGAGAAATAAAGGGGCTCTAAAGGGGTTCTAATAAGGTTTGCTGTTGTTTCCAGAACAGAACGTCAATCCTTTTGGAATTGTGGATTTATGGTTTTAATAAAACCAATTTACTATAGATTTAATGCATTAACTGTGTATCTGTATCCAACTATATTTTAATGAGCAGTTGTGTTACCAAAATACTATGTTTTGTTACTAAACTTTGGCTGATATTGGGCTTTGATAGTTGCACAAGAAAAATTGATTTGTTTGGCTGCATATGATGTGCCCAACCTTGTCCAACCCTGGTATGCTATGCAAACGAATTCTTTTACTCCAGAATGTTTTTCATTAATTACATTTTTTTCTAATTTAGAAACATATCATTTAACTATAAAGTTATATAGTTTATATAAATATAAAATATATACAGTTTACTGTATTTATTTGTTTGCTTGTTCCTGCCTTTATTATTTTTATAAACAACTTAAGGATGTGAACATACTCCTTCCTCCTCCTATTTTCAGTATCAGTATTTTTTTTAATTCTTTAAAAATGCCACTATAGTTTTTGAGGGCAAAAATTATCAAGTGAGGACATCATATTATCAGCATTTTTTATCTCCTGCCAGCTTTCCTGTTAACTTTGCTCAAAAGTGCAAATGACAATCATGTAACCACAGGAATGCTGTGACCAGTGTATGAAGACTGGTTGTAAATACCAGTCATTCAACATTGTCATAAATTCAGTAACCATATAAATGATTACTGAATTAGTGGTCATTAAGTAAGGAAAACTGGATGTTTAAAAATCCAATAATTTATCATTTCCATTATCATTTTCTTGTTTTCTGTCGTTTAAGTTAATCTCATTGCAGTTTTTACAATGACTAAAATAATCCATTTTTGTGTTTTATTTGTTCCAGAAAAAGAAAAAGCACTTTTACAAGAAAACCTATTTTTCTCTTTTTAATCATCTTTGCTACCCTTACCTCCCATAAATTTATTTTTTTCATTAAATAACTTTTCAGTACTTTATGAGTACTAAGATGAAATAATCTGATGAATTTGAGAAATGGAGTCACTTAGCCATAATTACCAGTAGCAACCATTTTTTTCCTAAGAGATTGCCATACACATAGGATAAGAACAAGATAAGATCGAATCTGTGTCGGTTACCAGGACCTGAGATTTACTTTCAGACTCATGCTGGAGCCCATCTTCAGGGAACTTCTTTCTACTGGGAACAAAAATCTACGGAAGAGTAAATCTACAGTCCCGGTGACCAATCCAGATTCGATCTTGCACCATTATCCTGGGACATGTATATTTTACCTTCATTCATAAGAACAACCCAATTTAATGTTATCTTAATCTAAAGTCCTAAGAAAGCAAAATAAAGTGAAGTTAATTTAAAAATAACAGAAAAATATCAAGATGGTGAACTCAGCACAAGCTTAAGGCAGAACCAACAGTTTCAAACAGACAAGTAGTTTACAAAGGAACCCAATAGTTAAAAATGACAATTCTGGAAAATTCTTGACTTTTTGCCAAGTGTTGGAAAACAGAAATCACCATCAATTATGCAATATTATGAATAAACTAGTCCAGGGGTGAAAAAAACCTATTCTGTAGCTGTCAAGAATGGATAGTAGGAACAAGAGTACAGAAGTGAGTAGGCAACTTGGAAACACAAGAAAGGAGAATGGTGGTTGTTCCCCTAATCAGAAAAAAGTTTGGTTGCTTTAAGAAATGCTTTAAGCATAAATTACTCATTTGCGCACATGGGAAAGTAATAAATATATACCTAAAAGCCTCAATTTTTTCATTGTTTATGATGAAAATCTGAGTGATTTAGTGATACATACAGATTGGTAACAATATGAATGTAGATCAGACCATTTTTTGGCAACTTTAAGAGTGATGCTTGGGGAAAAAAAACAGATGAAGAAAAAGAAAGAAATGGAAGAAAGTAAAAATTCTGGATGGGCTTCCTGCTCTGTTACATTATGAAAAATTAACAGAAACAGCATTGCTATCACATATCATCTTATGGGTAATCCAGTTCATTGTTTGACAGCTTCCTTTAGAAAATTCTTTATAATGTCTTATTTTGCCACTACTTTAACAATCACTGATTCTGATCCTGCCTCTCGGGTAACAAAGAACAAGATTCACTCCCTCCTCTTATGTAAATAATAATCCTTTAACTATATGAAGACTGCAGTTCTATTTTCCTCAGTCTTTTCTTCTCTTAGGCTAAACATGAATATGTTCTGGTTTGTTTACATCCTTTCCAAACTACCATGTCCAGAACTGGATACAGGATTCCAAATAAATGATTGATATATAATTGATCATTGATCACATAAAGTATAAGAGTAATTTTTATGAGTAGGATTCATATTCCTGTCAACAGGAATAGCAGCTGCTTTTTTAACTTCTGCAGCAGTTATTGTTTCAGTCGTATGTGTAACTAGCATCTGTTGCATATAGTGTGAACCAGTGGTGGGATTCAAATTTTTTTACTACCGGTTCTGTGGGCGTGGCTTGGTGGGTGTGGCATGGCTTGGTGGGTGTGGCAGGGGAAGGTTACTGCAAAATCCCCATTCCCTCCCCAATCCTGGGGGAAGGATACTGCAAAATCCCATTCCCTCCCCACCCCACTAACCTGCTTTCCAGATCTGTTCTCCTGTACAAGGCAACAAAAGAAGACCCAGCCGATCAGCTAGGACTTGGGAGGCAGAGAATAGATGGGGGCGAGGCCAGTCAGAGGTGCTATTTCAAACCACTCAAAATTTCTGCTACCGGTTCTCTGAACTACTCAAAATTTCCACTACCGGTTCTCCAGAACTGCTCAGAACCTGCTGAATACCAATTCTAGTGTGAACCACCATGAACCATTAGAGGTACTAGATTGAAAGCTATTTCTCCAGAGCAGTAGGTCCTTAAGCAAGTGTATCAGATTTCTAGATGTGGACTTAAGACTATGATCATTTGCATGAGGAAAAAAACACAATTGTAATAAGTTTTATGCATATTATTTTGAGCAGCGTTGTTTTGCAACCTTTTTTGTATCTCATCCTAGCTGTTTTTTTTAAGTAGCAACAGTTTTGAATCATATTTCTATTACTATTATAAATCTTAATTGAAAAAAAATGAAAATTAGAACACTATCTTACCATTACTGATACCAGAATTTGCAATAACTGTCACTTCACTCCACTGGTCAGCGCTAGAAACTGAATAGGATCGTTGATGCATCCCATCAGGTCGACTGTTAAAGGAAAGAAGACTGATGCCACTCGTCATATGAGACACAGATGTACTAGTAGTCACATTTCCTAGAATGAGAGGAATATGAAAATATGAATATCAATGAAAATGTAGAAATGCACATCACAGCAATTAGAACAAAAAATAAATTCTACAATATAAGAAGGTGTAATATTATATTATAATGATACTTATATCCTTTCTTCCAGAATCAAAGATATGCTTTTTATTCTATTTAAGTTACTTTCTTTGAAAAAAAAAATCCCAACTTCCACTTTCAAAGGGTTGGCTCCAAGACATATTTGGTTGGAAAGAACAGTTTCACACCAGACCTCTGCTTAGTATGCTCCCAGAAAAAAAGAGGTGCGATTCCCCCCATTTCTCCTTCCAAAGTAAACACCCACATTACTTTCCCAGCTCTTCTAGAGAATTCCCAATTATCTGAGTTAATGTCGGGTCCTTTTCAGAATGCTGCCATTCTGAAGGGGAGAGGGACTCTCCATGGGCTGAATGTTTTTCATGCTTTCGCTTTTGCTGTAACTGCATGGGAGTTTGGGGTGGGAGGATGAGCCATCTGCATAGAACCCCCTCTCAGCCAGTTCCAGCCTGCTACCCAAGGTTGTGGCATCCCAAGGAAAACCTCGTCTCACCAGCCAGCCTCAGAGTTCTCAAAACACCTTTGTGGCATTTTATTGGCTACCTGTATACATGCAGCATTGGGAGGGGGGGGGGTTTGAAGATGAAAAGTTAGTCTAATGTTTCTTGCACGAATTTCAGACTCAACCTGACTTTTCTGCAATCACTTTACTTTCAGTAAAAGTTCCTTTTGAAATGTGAATTGTTTCAAGAGTCATGCTTTCCTAAGAAGGTAGCTGAGGCAGGACCTTATATTAGGTGAAGTCTTCAAAGTGGTCAATTCGGAGAGGCACCTGTCCTATCATGGGAACCATGCAAATGATATCAACACAAGGCAGCGATCAAGAAGCCAAATGCTGGGGCAAAGCCTCTGCCAAGCCTCAATAAGGCATGAACCCCACCGGATTGGTAGAGGAAGCCGCAAGCTTAGGGGACTCAGCTAAGCCTAGATGGTCCATAGGTGTAGAGAAGAAGGGTGACTGGGAAGGGAGAGCAAAGGGAGTCACCCTTACCCAAGGCTGTTACTGACAAGGATGGAAAGAAGAGCTGGAGGTACAGGAAGAGGAGGAGGAAGGAGATGGACCAACCATGCCAAACTCCTCATGAAGCAAGCCATATGATTAATGATGGATGCTTTCCAAAACTTGAAGGCACTGGAGGCCCTAGTTGGGGGGCGGCAGATGTCAGAACCAGCTGGAGGAGGTAGATGAAAAAACCTCATTCCTGTACTCCAGGGGTGTCAAATTCAAGACTCCTGGGTTGGATGCGGCTGTGGAGTGGTTAGATCTCGCTTTCAGGGCTACCCTGGAAACAGTGAAGGACCAGCCTGTGGTGTCTTTGCCAGTGAAAATACAGCTTCGGCTGGCCCTGCCAGCCCCCCCAGTTCGAAGAGGAACAACATTTCGAAGTTAAGGAAACCCTGGATTGCAGGAAACATAGGGGGAAAGTACAGTATTTGGTGGCCTGGAAACACTTCTTCACCTCACAATCTTAATGGATGAATGCTTGGGACGTCTGGGCCCCCAAACTCCTTCAATTGTTTCACAAAAAATACCCTGACAAACCTTAATGTAATGTTATTCTCCTTTATTGTAGCTTGCTTCTATCCCAGTCTTCTATGTCTTATGTTTTTTTTCTTAGGGCTAAAGCCTCTGCTGCAGGAGGACCGAATGTCAGCCGGATCTCCAGCATGGGACTTTGCTTTGATGCATGCTTACTATCAGCTGCCATAGTAATGGAGAGGGTGGGCATGGCATTTGGGTTGAGGAAGTGAACTGGTGAGTTGAAGGCACATGTGAATTAAAAGGGAAGAATGACTGCGCAGCTGAGTGGAATTGTTTATACCCTGTCAAGGTCAACCATCCTAGAACTCCAAATAGATGAAATATTTGAAGATAAGCTTCACATTATAAGGGACATTGATTGGACATTCAGCATGGGACCCTGGAGGGAGAGATTTATAGAAACATTCAACCTGTAACTTTTGTGCCTTTTGAAACAGATCTTGCCTTGCTTTTGTTGCTATCATTTCAAACTGAGTAAAAGTACCTCTTTTCTCTACTTCAATGGAGTTGGGGGTTTTCTTTTGGGGTTTTAAACAGAAGCAGGTCTGACAGTTTTACTTTTTTGGGAGAAACAATGTCCCAGTTGTTCCTTATTTTGGATTTGCTAGCTGGACATCTGACATTAAACCAGCTCTCCATATACTACAGCCTACCTGGACCCCTCCAGGAGAGCTGTAATATCAACATGTCAGCAGCTGACAAGAAGATAAATGGTGGGGTGAACTTGGGAGAAGCTCCCCTCTGGGACAAACTGATAGCAACCCAAGAAGGGCCTGGGGATCAGCCAATCAGCGTGCCATAAGCAGGGTGCTGGGAAGCTGAAGCAGCCACCCATGATCCAGCCAAAAGGGTAGTGGGCCAAGTGGCTTGAGGAAGGCAAGGGAGGCAGAATACCCACTAGTTCCTACCCGAGTTATGGTGGTCCGGGGAAACAAATGTAAAGCCCGGAGGACAGCCAAATGGAAAGAACTGGTGGAGTGGAAGTTCCTGATTGCAACCTGCAGCCCCTCAATGGAACAGTTCAGGGACAAGCTGGGTGGGTTAGAGGTCCAGGGGGGCCACTTCACAGAGGTCCATGGTGACAAGTTGGAAAGGGGACTGCCAAGCTGCTGGCTGCCCCATTCTCCCCCGCTGCAACCAATGGTGTTGGGTCTGATTGGATTGATGGGACCTATGCCACAAGGGGCAGCGGCAGTCCTCCGTGGCAACAGGAGCCTCTGCACAGGTGGTGATAAGCCTGACTTGGACTTTTATGAGATTAACAGCGAGAGGGAAGACAACCTGATAATAAGTCCAGGTGACTGCCATCCTGGTGCCCTACTCGGGAGTAAAGGGCACTCTCATGGCCCTATTAAACTCAGGGTGCACCTGGTGCCTGATCAGCTTGTAGATAGTGGAAATATTGGGGGACTCAGGAAATTAAGGTGGCCCATAGGATTTGAACAGCTAGATAACCTTATGTCAAGCAACTGTGTTCTTTACTTGCCCCTTCTTCTTGTTCTACTAATCGTTTCTAGCATCAGTGACTGCAATGAATTTGCATGCATAACATGGCCAAAGCAAATCAGATGAATTTTTCTGATTTTGGCTTCTAATGATGTGTCTGTTGTATATGATTCAGCACCTCTCTGTTGGTTGCTCTGGCTGTCAGAATTATGGTATACACAATAATTCAGTTCAAAGTAATTCGTTTTTCTTCGACCAGCCACTCTTAGTGAACAACTCTCATATCATACATCATTATAGGGAAGAATATTACTCTAACTAACCTTTTTTTGGTATTTATATCAATATCTCTGATTTTCCAGATCTTATTCATGTTAACCTTTCCAGAGTGGCCTAAAATTATCCTACATTTGATTTCAGAACTGCCATCATAAACAATTTTTGATCCAAGAAAGATAAATTTCCTCCTTGATGATTTTAAAAATCTCATGTCCATCTGCATCTGTTGTTATTATCTTTGTTTTCCTGATGTTATGACTCAATCCTACTTTTTCACTTTCGTTCTTAATTATCCAAAGCATTTTTTCTTTCTTATTTTCAGCCAATATTGCTGTATCATGTGCACACCATAAATTATTTACGGTTCTTCCCCCAACCTTCATTCCAACATCAGGCAGTTCCACTTCTAAATTAACAGAACAACAGAGATGGAAGGGACCTTGGAGGTCTTATAGTCCAACCCCTTGCTCAAGCAGGAGACCCTATAGTATTTTAGACAAATGGATTCCAGTCTCTTATTAAAAGCCTCCAGTGAAAGAACAATAAGCTTTTTTGGTGGCTGCAGCCCAGTGCCACTCATATTTAACTGTCTGCCCACTAGAACGCCAATATCTTTTTCTGGTGGATGAGCTCTGTATTCAAGATAGAGCCACCAGAGGAAACAGTTACACCGCAGTCAGAAAAATTGCTACTAAAATAAAATAAAATAAAATGGTAGGAGGAGAGGCAGAGAGGGAAAGATAAGTCATAGAAAAAGAATAAAAGACTAGTGACAGGAAAAGGAGAGGAAGATTGGAGAAATTAAGAGAGAAGCCCAGCTGTATCCAAGAGGTCTGAAAGAAGCCTAGCTGCACCATAGGGACCTACCCAAGAGACTAAGGCCCATCGAAGTGAGGTGAGTGGAGAGGCAAACCGACTGCAGACAGCAAAGCCAACTGGTAGAGAATAAAGAGTTGAGCCGGTGAGCGAGTGGGGCCAGCTGTGAAGCAGGGAGGAAAAACAGCTGGGTGGAGAGACCGGCCAAACAAGGACAGTGCAACAACTGGCCAAGAACAAAGAAGCGGTGAGAAGACAGAGCAGGGAGGAAGGGAAGAGAAGAGAGACAAGCTTTCTGTTCGATGTTTGTGCTTATGCCCAAAGAACACCCAAATTATACAGATATTAAATATAAGCTATGTGAACTACTAGAGGAAAGAGTAAGGGATCTAGAGGCAGCTCTAGCCAAACTCCAACCTACGCAAGAAAGCTATGTCCAAACTGAACCAAAAAATAACTCCCAGAAAATTTGACCCTACTGATAAATCCTTGGAGGAAGACAAATGAAAGTATGTCACACATAGAAGGAAACGCAATAATCAAACAAAGAAGCAGCACATATCTAACAAACTCGTTACCCAATCTAACCAAGTCAGAAGCAGCCCCATTAAAACTGAGCAACCAATTTCTCTCCCTTGTTGAAAATACTCAGACCACAACCTCCCCCAATAAGGAAACACACAAACACTTGCTTTAATGGCTGCCTCTCTGCCGCCGGCAAGAAGGGCTTCTCCTGGATCAACCAGGGACTTTGCGATATCCCTGGGATCTACAGGATGCACCCTTCACAATCACCATCTCTTCAGGACAGCTTAGGTCCGTTGGGA